AAAGTGTGGTGTTGACAGACTGGAGACTTGTTGCACATGCAAGTCTCTGCATTTCTTTCTTTGGGGCAAAGCCCCTTACAGACTGAGATGTTGAAAACCCTGGCACTGAGAAGTGAGAGAGCAGACTTCATTCATCACCTGAACAACCAGGAGTTAAGTAGACCTCAAACTTGTGTACAAAGATTTAGGTGTACAGTAACATCCGATCCACTGTTCTGTTTAACTTCAGGACTTCAGTATTTTGTTTTGGTTTGATTTTTATTCGCATTTTTGCTCCAAGTAATACTTTTCATGATATTTAGTGCTGCTAACGACACTATAGTACTCGTTTAGGTATCTACTTCGGATATCGGAAATACATATATAAACTCAGAAAGTGTTAGACCTGAAGTGGACCTTAGAAATCATCTATCTAGTCTAGTAGTTATTTATAAATGACTGAGTAATTAAAGGAATCGTTTCTTTTTAACCAGCTCCTTCACCTTCATGCTTGATAGGTTTAGCTCCCATTTAATGTTTTTTCAAACAAAATTCCACTGAAAATGCATGTTTACATTAAACCATTAAGCTAAACAGGAAATTGCATTCACTCATTTTCCTTCATCTATGCATTCAGTCTAGCCCACAATATTCCAGAGTTTCTACCACCCAGCAGAGAAGAAAAACACACTGTCTCATCTTTAAGAATCTCACATTCTTGTCAGAGAATGAAGACCAATCCAGTGTAGGAAATGTCTAGCAAAGGCTTGAGGAGGGGACTCTAAGCACGTAGTGGAGAAGGCATATGTCAAGGTTTTGGAAAGAAGGTGATCTACAGCCAAGCTTTTTAAGTGGGATGAGAGAAGTGGGGAGAATTACAGAGGAAAACATCAACAAATGCTAAGAAAAGAAAAACAGAGAACTTAGAATGGAAAATAATTTGTATATCTGGACTTTGAAGACCACTGCCTATGGCAGGCCCTCAACAGATAGCTAGTTAATTAACTAAACAATTATGCTCATGGAAATAAAGCTATCAAAGTCAGTTCGTGAAAGAGATTATAGGCATATTCAAGGTATTAGGATTTTATTCTGTAAAGTAGAAGCTGAAATGCAAATGTCTACAGGGATCTTGTAGAAAATATAAGTAGAGGGGGTCAGATGTAGAAATGACTGTAATCATGGATGTGTCTTGCCTGGGTATCAAATAAGGTACTACTAGGACACAGATATCTAATGCATTATCCTGGCTTTAGGTTGGGCAAATAAATAAATATTGATGATATAAATGATGAATGTCTCCATTCACAAACCACGTACAATGTAATTATGTAGGATTAGCTTATTTAATTCCATGAGGGAAAAGCAGGATAGTATTACTGATGAGGTTATATTTAGGGTAGATTCACGAAGTAAGCAGCAGCTCACCCATTCCCAGATACACCAAAACATGCTCCTTTCAGTCTCACCAAGTCGTCTCATCAACAGCTTACACTCTATGTCCTTTCTCAAATCTTCTACTTTGCCTGGCATGCCAGCCTTCCTTCTTCATTTATCCAACTCCCATTGACCCTAAAGTTTCAATTGAGATAGATTTTTTTTCTCCTATATTAAGCCCATGACAACTACCTGGTGGCACATGATAATTGATAAATAACAGTAACTAGTCACATCAGAAAGCTGAAATACATAAGACAGGAAAGAGTACTGTGCTCAAGAAACGTGTAAGTAAATGTAATAAGAAAGTTACTGCTTTGAGGGCAACAATTAATCAGATCTGTGACCTCAGCACAAGGTTTAGCCTCTGATTATCTTCATACCCTTAGCTATAAAATGAAGCAGTCTTCTTGTGGTCACTATGCTTCCTTTCCATTCCAAAATTATGAGTTTGGGATTTTTGAGCAAGAATTTTATCACTTTGTTATGCCTACAATAGGGTTTCCACAATACTATTAAAAGTTTCCTTACATAGCAAGATGAAAGAAAAGCACCTATCAATGGTAGCAAGTATGTCCTCCCCATGCCACTATAAATGTATAATTGTAACTCTGCTTTTAGTAAGTTATATAGGTCACAGGATCACTGAGTTGAATCCAGCTGTGATGTCACTGTGCTACTTACTACTTTGGTCATCTTCTATTACTCAGATAATCTAAGACAGGCCATCTGTGTTTCTTTCTCTGGACTCAGAACTTCACAGCAGTGAGAAAGTAGAGGGCAAGGAGAATGTGGATGCCTAATACTAAAGTAGATATAGCTCAGCAGTCTAAGCGCCTGCCTGGCAAGCCCAAGGTCCCAAGTTCAATCGTCGGTACCACGTGCTATGCCAGTCCTGCACCTAGTCAGCCACCAAAACCAGGCAAGGTGGCACATGCCTGTAATCCCAGCACTGGGAGGCAGAGACAGGAGGATCATTATGAGTCTGCGCTGTGTAGTGAGACCCTGTACCAAAGAAAGAGAAAGAGAGAGAGAGAGAGAGAGAGAGAGAGAGAGA